CGGGCCCCATGGGGAGGGTCTCCCGCCTGAGGACCCCGCCATTCTCTCACAGACGAGGCTCCCGCCTGAGATTTCCTCCATGCTTAAGCTTAACGAAGCTCACCCCTTCATGTACTCATGACGGGGTGGGTTTGGGAGAGGGTGATGCTGATGCTGATCAGTGGCACCATCCTGATATTGACGAGTGTGTGAGGCTGCGAGTGCGTGAGTGATGATGGTGGTGATATTGAGCGAGTGACTGATTGTTGATAATGGCGGTGGTGATGACGATGATGACAATAGTGATGGTGATGATGATGATGATGATGATGATGATGATGATGATGATGATGATGTTCTGTGAATGAGTGGGTGGGTGTGTCAGTGAGTGAGCGAGTGAGTGAGTGAGAGAGTGAGTGGGGCGGAGCGGGGGTGACGTATGAGGTTCCTGCGCGGGGGTGTGCAGAAAAACCAAGAATCCCATTTTCGATGTTGGGAATCATTGTCGGCCCCCTCCGGTGCACGTTGTGTTTTTTCAATTCAAGTGCCTCGGGGTTCGCACCGTGTTCTTGTCAGGGAGCGCATTCCTATTCAAACTGCGTTGTTGACCCCCCGGCAACAACAACAACAACAACAACGACGGATCCCGCTTGATATGTCCTCACAATTAATTCCAACATTGTGTTTTCGCGGGGACTTCCGCACAATGTATGCAGGAATCGCGTTCTAGAGCGACATTTCCCCTCAATTTATTCAGGCGCCGCGCCCTCGACATTCAGGAATTACGCTCTCGTTCTAGCTTTTCTCACGATTTGTTTGGGGATCGCGCTATCTCTCGATACGTCCTCGCGATTCATGCAGGGTTCACGCTTCAGCAACCCGCCTGCTCGACCTGGCCGCCTGGGCCCGCCTTCCCGACTCGCACCCTAGGGTCTGCCCGCCCGATATGCCCGTCTGGTTATGTCACGTGCTTGCTGTTCCCTGTCCCCCTTCATGTTAAACCGTGTCGTGCTCCACTTGTCTTCCGCCCCCTTCCATCCGTCATCTCTTCCCTTGTTTTTAGAGGCTGCGCTCCATGCGCGCGGCAGACAAAGGCGTCATACCCCCAAAGGGTTACGATCGAAAACAGTCTTAACATGTTTGTGTTTGTTGCTGTTTTTGCTGAGTTCCCACCCTTGAGAAATAATTCGTGCTGGTCCTCCCCCGCCAGTGCACATTCTGGTTCTTCAATTCAAGTGCCCCTCCTCGGGGCTCCAAAGAAAGTCTTCCTGCTCAAATTGCGCTGTTGACCCCCGAACTACAGCAACAACAGTTCCCGCCTGCTCCTTCCTCACCATGTATTCCCAAGTCGCGCTCTCGCGCGGGACTTTCTCACAATGTATGCAGGAATCGTGTTCTCGCGTGGGGGGTCCTCGCAATGTACTCAGACGCCGCGCCCTCGACATTCAGGAATCACGCTCTCGTTCTAGCTTTTCTCACGATTTGTTTGGGGATCGCGCTATCTCTCGATACGTCCTCGCGATTCATGCAGGGTTCACGCTTCAGCAACCCGCCTGCTCGACCTGGCCGCCTGGGCCCGCCTTCCCGACTCGCACCCTAGGGTCTGCCCGCCCGATATGCCCGTCTGGTTCTGTCACGTGTTTGCTGCTCCTAGCCCCCTTCCTGCTGGTCTCTCTCGTGCCCCATCCTTCTTCCTTTACTTTCCATCCGTTCTGTCTTCCCTTGTATCATGGGGCTGCACTCAATGCGCGTGGCAGGTAAGGAATATATGCCCCCACGGGGGGGGGGTATACGTGTTGAGCGGCATGCCAGCAGATAGGAATGAACAGGCGTAAACTGACTGTTGTTTTTGTTGTTGCTGGTGGTTTATCATTTCTATCGAATGCTCATTGTTGATCCCCCGTCTCCGAAAACATGTATATGCTTAAACGAAAGTGCTCATCCAGGGGCTCGCACCCTGCTTCTTATAAAAGGGAAGTGAGGTGCCATCAAACTGTGCCCCTGGTCCTTGGTTTATAACAACAGCGGCTCCCGCCTGATACGCCCACACATTTTATTGTCCACCTCGCGCTCTCGCGCGGGACTTCTTCACAAGTTATACAGGAATCGCGCTCTCGCGTGGGACCTCCTTCCAAATTATTCAGACGCCGCGCTCTCGACACCCAGGAATCACGCTATCGCGATTTTCGCACGGTTGATTAGGGGATCGCGCTATCGCTCGGTTCGTCCTCGCGATCCATGCTGGACGCACGCTTCAGCAGTGACGGGAGGAGACTGGATCGTATTGCTTCTGTCGGTAGTGCGGTATAGATGCAGCGCTGCATGCGCCATGTCGCCGCGGCGTTCGACACATGGGTAAATCTGCTTATACGTCGTGCAAGAAGCAAGCGAGGCTTAACTCGCCCGCCAGCTTCCAATGCTTCCTGCCTGCAGCTCCCAGTGCGGGAGCCGAACGCTCGAAGGCGCGCCGCCAGGTCTGTGGGCGGCCCGCGACGGCGCCCCGCTGGACCACCCAACAGCC